CCCCCCCCCGCCCCCGGAGCCCCCAGAAGGAATGAAGAACCCGCACCCCCACCCCCCCTCCTCCTCCGGAACCGCGGGTGGGGAGGCACTGGAGACGGAGGACAAAAGGGACTTGCCTAGAAGCAACTTACGGATGCCAGCCGCTGAGGGGTCTGGGGCACCTCGGTGCTGACTTCCATCCTCTCCTCACCGTCGGTCTCCTCGTCCGCCATCTTAAGGGAGACTAACGCCTGCAGCTGTCGACCCCTGACTGGAAGCGAGCGGAGACCTGTAGCCCGGCCCGAGAGATGACGGGCGACACTTTTACGACGGCCCCTGGGAGGCCGGGGCTTTGGCGCAGAATCCGAGAGCGACTTCCGGTTCGCTTCCCGGAAGTGGGCGTCACGGCCTCTTCTCCTTCCTTTTCCCCCCCCTCCCTCCTCCCCTTCCCCCTGGGGCGCTGAAGGTTTTTCTTTCTTTCATTACCCGCCCACGTCGTCTGTCTGTCTGTCTGTCCCCTTCCGTCCAGTCTGTCGTGCCTGGTGGCTGCTGGGTCCGGTGCTAGCGTCTGCTGCATCTTTGAGGTAAAATAAACTAGGTATACAATGAATAAGGAATAATAATAAAAACTACACAGAATTAACACCCGTTATAAAGGAGGAGGCTGTCTGTCGGGGGCAGGCCGTTGTTGCTCTGGGGGTGCTCACGTCTGCCCACTCCACCTGCCATGGTTCTCCCAGAGAGCCGTCCCCCCCCCCCCACACACACCAAAAAGAAAAAAGAATAAAGAATTTTAAAAAGACTCAGCCCTTCCATCTTTACTGTGGAGCTCTGGGCACTTGGCTTGCACAACCGTGTAAGAGCGTGCCATTCCCAGCGCTACGAATAGTGTGTGTGTGTACATACATATATGCATATATGTACGTACATATATTTACATATATATGTATTTATATATGCACGTACATGCATATATATATATGTATATATATAAAGGCATTTGCAGCCGTGGTACTCACTAGATACTGTATTCAAAATCAGCTATGCAATTTGTGGGTGGCAATGGGAGGGAAAAACTGGGAGAGGGAGAGAAGAGGTGATGCCCAAAAAGAAATGTGCTTTTTACCTGATAGACGTAACTAACTCTTCTAGACATCACCTTGATAATAACAATTTAAAAAATAAATTAAAGCCAAAGCCGGCTCACGCCTGTAATCCTAGTTACTCAGGAGGCTAAGATCTGAGGATCACGGTCCAATGCCAGCAAGAAAAGTCAATGAGATTTAGCTCCAGTTAACCACTCAAAAAACTGGTGTTGTGGCTCAAGTGGAAGAGTACTAGCCTTGAGCACAAAGAGGCTCAGGCACAGAGTCCAGGCCCTGAATTCAAGCCCTACAAATGACAAAAAGGTAAAAATGAAGAGGCATTTGTTGAGAAGAAAGAATAAACTATGGTACACATTCACATTCTGGGTTACCGTGCAACACTTGAACAAGGTAGGTCAATGTGGAAAAACGAAAAAAAGAAAAATCAACATCCATTGAGAGTCGGCTGCTAGTGCCTTCCTGCTTGTTATCCTAGCTACTCAGGAGACTGAAATCTGAGGGATCCCTATTCAAAGCTAACTCAGGCAGGAAAAGTCTGTGAGACTTTTTATTTCCAGTTAACCAGCAAAAGCCAGAAGTGGAGCTGCAGTTCAAGGGGTAAACCACTAGCCATGAACAAAAAAGCTTAAACACTTGAAAGAATAAATCTGAAATGCAAAGAAAATAAATAGTTCTAAAGGCTAGGACCAGGGTTAGACAGGTGGTCCAAACTAATAGCATCTGTGTTGTTTGAAACTGTTTTAAATGAAATCTTCTTAAAATTATTTTTAAAGAAAAATTTCTATAAGGCCAGTTTTTCTTCAAATATTTCAACCAAAACAATACATTGGTATAATTTTTTTTTTGTCAGTTGTGGGGCTTGAACTCTGGGCCTGGGTGCTGTCCCTGAGCTCTTCAGCTCAAGGCTAGCACTCTACCACTTGAGCTACAGTGCCACTTCCAATACATCGGTATACATTGAATGCAGAAACAAGAACAACTAGCTATCTTCTACTAAGGTAGCAATTTGGGAAAAGAATTTAAAAAGCTAAAATACTGCCACACTTTTTGGTAATTTTTAATTTAGGAAGTCAATTTTCACTTACCATGCTTATACTAATATATTGCTTATTATTTAAAATAATAGGAATTCTTAGTTTTCCATTTTAATTTCTTGAGACTTTTTTTTTTTTTTTTTTGCCAGTCATGGGGCCTGAACTCGGCCTGGGCGCTGTCTCTCAGCTCTTCAGCTCAAGGCTAGCACTCTACCACTTGAGCCACAGCACCACTTCTGGCTTTTTCTGCTTATGTGGTGCTGAGGAATCAAACCCAGGGCCTCATGCATGCAAGGCAAGCACTCTACCACTGAGCCACCTTCCCAGCCCTCCATTTTAATTTCTAACATAGTAAACATTGATAAAATTCACAGATACAGAAGATTTTTTTAGGTGTCCAGTTATTTTGAAGTAATCCTGAGATGATCATAACATTTGATTATCAGTCTTTCAGATTTATTCTTTTTGACTTGGGAAGATATTCAGAATATATACATATATATATATATGTATGTATGTATATATACACACACACATGGAAAAATCAAGTTACTTAAAAGAATTTTTGTAACACAAAATAAGTACCCTTCTTGGAAATATGTCTTGCCACCTTGTGTGTTGTGGTATGTTTACTGTTTAAAAAATAACAAATATCAGGTATCTGTCACACATTTTAATATCCCCAAGCTCATATATTAAACATAAAACAGATTTTTAAAAAGCTTGTGTATAATTTATTACCCTTTTCTAATTGAGAACTAGGTGTGGCTTGGCCTAGTTTATAGTAGGATTTTGAATTTGATTCTTATGCAAACATTATGTCTGTGTGTGTATGCTGGTTAATTAAGGCTTAAACTCAGGGGCTTGTGCTCTTACTCAGCTTTTTCACTCATGGCTGGCATTGTACTACTTAAGTCATGCCTCCAGTCTGGCTCCACCCCCCCCCATAACAGGGTTGGAAGTTAGGGCCTCAACATTCAGCTGGCTTTTATCAGCTGGCATTCTACCATTTGAGCCACTCCTCCAGTCAAGCTTTTTGCTGTTTAAGAGATAGAGGTCTCGTGGACTTTTGTGCCCTGACTAGCTTCAAACTAAGATCCTCCAGGTCCCATCTTACTAAGTAGCTAAGATTACAAGCTTGAACCACTGGCACTCATCTTGTACTTATTTTTAAAATTACTTTCAGGGCTGGGAAGGTGGCTCAGTGGTAGAGTGCTTGCCTTGCATGCATGAGGCCCTGGGTTTGATTCCTCAGCACCACATAAGCAGAAAAAGTCAGAAGTGGTGCTGTGGCTCAAGTGGTAGAGCACTAGCCTTGAGCTGAAGAGCTGAGGGACAGCGCCCAGGCCCAGAGTTCAAGCTCTACGACCGACAAAAAAATAAATAAATAAATAAAGCTTCAAGATAAGTTTGTAGGTACTAGTTCATTGTCTGAAGGATTATCAACAACATGCACTAAATTTTTCCCTCTGTATAGTATATATATATATATATATATACATATACATATACACACATATATATGTATGTGCTGTGTATATGTATATTGGAGGGGGATAGGGTACTGCAAGGTTTGTTGTCCAGGCCATCCTCAATTCCTGGGATCAAGTGAGTTTTCTGGCCCAGCCTTCAAAATAGCTCATTTGGTTTAATCCTCATTTTTGTAGTGTGCTGCTGGTTTTTTGGTTGTTTTTTTTTTTTTTTTTGTCCGTTTTGGGGCTTGAAACCCTGGCCTAGGCGCTGTCTCTGAACTCTTCAGCTCAAGGCTAGCACTCTACCACTTGAGCCACAGCGCCACTTGCAGCTTTTTCTGCTTATGTGGTGCTGAGGAATCGAACCCAGGGCCTGATGCATGTGAAGCAAGCACTCTACCCCCTGAGCCACCTTCCCAGCCCTAAGCTCGAGGTTTTTCAACTCTGGCTGTACATTTGGATTGCTTAGGAACCCTAAAAATGCCACATTGGAGTGGGAATGTAGTACATTTAATAAATATTAAATATTTCCTATAGGCCAGGCACAGGATTCTTTGTGCTTAATTCCTGAATCACTCCTTCACTGTTGAACCCGTGATTACTATGGGCTGATGTGCTGAGAATAAACATTTTTATACAAATAGCACTTTTTAAATCCCCCTTCGTTTTCTTGGGATATGCTGCTAGTATTGGATTTATCCGAGAGCAGTTGGTTAAGTACTTTTTAGGTGTCTTTGGGATGGAAGATGTTCATCTAAGCAGAAAAGATGAGGAACCATAAGACAGCAGCCATGGTTCACTATCTTAGGAGCTTATTATACGTGAGAATATACGCATTTAATGTTTATTAAAGGGAATGGCACCACACCATGTCGCAAGAGTTTGCAACCACGAACGTGTGAGATCAGGTTAAGGAAAAAGGAAAAAAAAGTGGACAAACACCTACGGAGTATACCGGTAGAACGCCCCGGGGTGGTGTGAACGAGGTCAGGAGAGACCTGGCCGGTCACCTCCGCACGGCCATGCACACACGCGCGCGGGTTGCACCAGCGTGGACGCGGGTTTTACAGGCGTGGAGGCCGCGCCACCACCCAGGCCAGCCGTGACTGACCAAGGAGGAGCCGCCCGGGGCTCCAGTCCCCGCCGCCGGGCCTGCCAGTCCGAGGCAGCCTTCCCGCCGCCGCCGCCAGGCTCCCCGCCCGCACAGCCCTCGGCGTGCGCCGGTGACAGCGGCTGCAAACCCTCCGGGCGCAGACGGCGGGGGGCGGGGCTGAGCCGCGGGAGTGACGGGCTACGCGGGCGGAGGGCGGGGCTAAGCCGAGGAAGGAGAGGGGGCTACGCCGGTGGAGGGCGGGGTTAAATCGAGGAAGGGGCGGGGCTACGCCGGTGGAGGGCGGGGTTAGGTCCAGGGAAAGAAGGTGCGCTACCCCGCCCACACACATACACACACGCACCCGGGACCGGCGAGCCAAGAGCCCGGAAGTGCGGGCGGAGCGGCCGGCCTAGGGGAGCAGGAAGGGCCGGGGTGGAGGTGGGGGTAGGGGGGGGCGGTGGACGCCGAGCAGCCCCGGGGAGGGGGTGGGGGCGGTCATGGCTGTAGTGCTGGCCGTGAGGGTGGTGGCGGGTCTGGCGGCCGCGGCGCTGGCTGCTCTTCTCCTGGAGCACTACGGCCTGGCGAGCCGGCCCTCGCCGCGACCCCAGCCCCGGG